AAGTGAAAACTATACTTGATCATCCGCGCTGTCAGCTCTGCCATTCATGGTTATTAATACGAGTCGGCAACTGGATGTAGTCTTATGGTGCAACCAAAGTGTTGCCTGGATTAGGCGGCACTCGCCAGTGTTGCCTATAAACCCGTAAACCGAAGTGTTGACACAGTTACGTGTCAAAATTTGAGTGTGCTAGTCTTTGGGCAAAACTAAATTTGGGTGTACTCGTCTTTGATAAAATTAAAAGACCAAATTATTACAAAAAAAGCCGAGAATTACATTTTTCATAAAAAAGGCCCCCAAACTGACAAAAAGGCCACATGGATTTTTATCAGGCCAATGCATTTCAAAAAAAGGCCACATTTGCGAAATTTGGCCTGAAAAAGGCTATCTGGCAACTCCACTCTCCAGGGAAAAAATCAACACATTATCCCTCTCGGGCGGATGAACTGGCGGCCAGTACTGTCCCCGTGTACAGGCACCTCAAGACATCTTCTACACATGTAAATTGCACCACATGCAAGCAGTGTCCAATTAACGCACAATTGGACACAATGTCGTTCCTGTGTCGCATCTCGTGATGGATGCAGGGATAAAGTAGTCTGAATGAGAGCAGAACTTTATTAGCAAACTCTCTCAATACCTCCTAGCACTCATCGTCGGCACAAAGTGTTGATTTTCAGTTTTCTCCATCATCAAAAATGACATTTCATTTATAATTCCATACAAATTTGTAGCTCGGTAAAATTTTGATTTTAAATTATTTTGTTGCTGGAATGCATATGGCTAGTTTCTATTAATCAATTTATTTAAGCAAATCTAACGAATGCGCTGAAAACATGAAAAGACAAAAGTCCAAAGAAACATGAATTGCAGTTTTTGCCACTAGAATTTAGCACGTTTTGCAGAATTAACCTACTGCCAATAAGTACAGCACACTTATTGTGCGAGGTTAATTATTAAACATAAAGAAAATAATAATAAAGAAATTCATTAGTAAAGACTTCCATTCTTGGTTCAATACATCACACGCTCCTAAATTAAACAAAACTAAACGACAATTATTAAAATGATAATCTTAAAGCTTTATTGTGACTCGTTCAATTCTAAGCGACGGTCAAAAATACTCATCAAACATGATCAAATGATCCAATTTGTGTCGTATATTCGGGATATCTTAGCAGGCGGAGGTTCCGTTCGACTTGGCTGCTATTAGAATAAACTTTTCCGCCTGCGCGTAGCTTCGGGCGCGGAATTAATGACGCATTCCGTTGGCTGTTGAGAACCCGCGAGCTGTTGAACGTGGTGCGGGGGGCGACCATTTCTGCTCTGGAGGAGCTCTGGCTGAAGAGGATCTCCCCCAGCTGGGACGGCTTCACTGGCTTGACAGGCTGCAGGTTCCGCGAGTACGGAACAGGGGTGTTGGGTTTCCGGGGCTTCTGGTAACGGTGATGAGAATGTGGCCGCCGAGACCAGCCTTCTCTGCCTCCTGTCGATAATAATTATATAATATAAACAGATTTTCACAAACAAACAACAATCATTAGTGCTAAGCTTACATCGCTAGAAAAATTGTGAATTCAACAAACCCATAAAAGTGCTTCAGTGTCTTTGATTTTGGCCACGGTTGTTTTACTAAATATAGCATTGAAACGAACTTTTTTGAATCATAATCTTTGAACAAATTTTAGTTCCAAAAAATTTTCTTCTACTTTTTACGATTGCAGAAATACTCGATATCGCACTGGCAGCTGGAAGAACGTCAACAACGTCGTTGGATATGATGGCGTCTAGTCCCTCCTCCTCGACGCGAGTCTTTGGCGTCGGGACGAGCGAAGCGACATTTCGCCACCTGCCGCGTCCTGCGTTGCTGGCCACCAGGTGCTGCTCACTGCGCCGCGCCTTCACGCACTCACGGAGGAGGCGGCCTCCCACCCACCGGCACCCACCCGCGGGATTGCTCAAGCACACCTCAAGGAAATACGTTAATGCTCACTGAGGTGAGGTGAGGAATTGGATTTACAATACCAAAGGATATTCTATACTTAAATTTTAGTGCCTCTGCTCTTTGCTATGAGTTGTCATTGATTATGTCACGACTTTGGTCTACCGAACGCCGCAGCTTCAGAAGGAAAACAAACGATAGAACATCTGCTATTGAACAAAAAGTCATTCGATGCTCCACATGGAAGATTCAGTAAACTAAGTGTGCACTCACAATAACGAATTCCTGGCTTTTACATATAAACTCTAATTCTTGCCAAATATGAATACTTAATGAGAGAGACCACTCACTTTGGCAGCTCGAGGGAGCACTACAAGAGCGTACCGAGTGTCTGGCGTGGCAGTCCTCGGAGCGACTCGAGGTTCGCCAAGCACAGTAAAAAGACGAGGATGGGCAGTGGTTCTCCCACCAGTGGCACGACATGATCTGCGGCAAATACTCAATAATTAACCGCACCTTATACACGTAGTTAGCGTACTGCTAAAGATGGAATGGCAAAACATCATATTACTCCTGCCGTACACACAATCTAGTATTAAGTAAACATGAATTAAATTCAAGGTTTTGTAGCTGTGCAAAAGGTCCACGAGATTTTCATTTGCATCCTTAATTGGTGTATATCTCTCGTTAACTAAAGTCCCAAACTTGGTCACCATTATTCAAAGCATAGGAAACAAGTTGTGTGCCGTGCCATGACCATCAGCCTCTGTGCAAGAATTTTTGTATTGATCTAGAATCATGATAGAGTTACATGGCTAACTATGGCGTTTTGAAATCATATTAGCACGCGTACTTAATGCACTACAGTATACCGGACAGTCGCACGAGGTGTTGTAGAGCAGACGGAAGCCTTTCTTCATCTTCGGGGCCAGCGACGTCCAGGGCGCCGCGAAGTGACAGGCGGACGTCCAAGGCTTACCCGCCTGGATCTCGCCTGTAACACAGACAAAAATGACACAGACGAGGTTGTGCATCTCGTAAGTTGGACCACTGCAAGTTGGAGCAACGCTATACAAATTAATGTTGTGATAAGCTTGAAAGCGCAGCAAGTGTAGCGTAAGAAAAAATCAAATTGATTTAGGATAATAATATTTGATTTATGCTCAAAATTTTGCTCCAAACAATCATTTTTGGAAGGAAGGAACGAGGTGCAAACAAACGCCAAAAATCTAAAATCAAATCGATACTACTTTTTTCAGAATAAAGATCGTCCATACCACGAATTGATCATCGTACTAAAACTGCCAACAACATATTTAATACAAACGTCCTTGAAAGCCTCTCCACAACCTGAGCCCTCACACACCTATGTAATCCTACCGCTATCCTATTCCATCGATTTTTAAAAATCTCATCGAGTGAGATTTTTATTTTTCATAAACTAATAAATTTCTACGATGAACGTGATCCTGGGACTATAGAAATGTCCAAAAGCGCAACGCTCACGCTCAAGGCATGAAGTATTAATACATGGCTTCACTATCGAAGTATTACTGCCCATGAAAAATATTTTTAAGAAATATGATTATTCTTTCTCTAGAAAAAATATATTGTGCGTCCACACATGGCTGTTGAATCTCAATCCATATAATATCGTCTGTCAGAAACCTGGGTTCAAATGTAAGTTGGAATGAACACAAACAGCGAAGAAGTATTGTCAGTCCAAGAAAAATTCAGTAATTGTCGCAGAATGGGTTTTTTGAATTGTCATTTACGTTGCACGTAAGCTACTCAATGTCTACTACTACAACTCGTCTTTAATGCCTCAATTAATTCTTTTACTTCTCACCGACCTGTGATGACGAGAGATAAGAATAGTGATTATCGACTGCACGATTACTTTCATAAATAGAAATTTCCTAATCGTTACTTAAAAATAATCTTTAGAATAAGTAAGTAGAACTTTATTGAACAGTTTTGCAAGGAACATGTCCGACCAACTGGCAGCCATCCTAGCGACGCACTGCTCGGGGTTGTCAAATATCGTTACGGCTGAATAATATGCAAATTGTTTGGGTTGCGGGCTAGCAAGCGAGACCATCGAGCGAGGAGTGTCAGCAAGTCATGGCCTTATAGCATCATTACATGCGATAAACTCTATGTCTTTATATTTCAACTACAGCAAAACTGTTGCGCTTCAAATTTGATTGGTTGAATAAAGGATGAAGCTGTTCACAGAAGAATTTTCATCAATAATATGGTAAACATTCTTGGCATTTTTTCTGTTAAAGAAATTTTAATCAATCTCCGATTTATGGAATGAGGATATTGCAATATTGTGAAATGTTGTAGTACTTGATGCCCATTTATTAGAAATGGCATACAGGCTGACCGTGCACGCGAATACCAGATTGCAGGTATAGCACGTAAAAATACATAGGAATTGCTATATTATTGTAATGATGCTATGTTTTTATAAGAAGAATTCCGTATTTAAATTCTGTCATGTAGGAAAATATCTTAACCAGACTGAAAATTTACACATTATTTTATGCAAAGTATATGCGAAGTCATTATGTAGACTCTTGAAAATCAAAAGTCTACGTAATGAATCATTCTCAGTTGATTCGACCAATTAACAGATAAAACTACCTTGAGTCACATGAACAAGATAACCCAACAAAATAAACACTGTTATTTGCCTGTTAAAAACTGTTGCTTCCTGTCAATATTATTCAATATTCTTCAATATTAGTCAATATTATTCAATATTATTCAATAATATTAATACTATTCAATATTATTCTATGTTATTCAATTTTATTGAGGAACTGACCTTGAATATCCTGCGAACCCGCACCCTGAGCGCCGTCTGTCCGTCCGGTGACGCCACCACGCGGTGCACCTTCACGTTCGCCACTGCCGGTGAAAAACGCCGCTAATAAACACTCACGTTCTCATAAGTAGAATTAATAAATAAATTAATAAATAATTGGGAATAAATCTATCGGATGAATCGATCAGAACAGGTACCTATAGAAACACTGGGTTTATACAAGAAACGTTTTTCTTCCATTTCCAGACCGCTAAACTTAATTTATCTAACTTAGACTACTGGAAGAGGGTTTTCAAAAGCAGGGCACCAGATACCAGTGTCTTTTGAAGGAGTTTTAAAATTATTTTAAGTCTGCGGTAGTTGCTGCAAACTTTTCAATACCAATCATGGCTCGGCTGCACTAAACAAAGACGAAAAAAAATATTAGTTGACTTGAGATCGGAACGACTCGAATTTCATAGCAATAATGTCGTAACTTTTCATGCAAAATATTTTTTTATAACAGATACGATACATCATCGCGCTGTGGAGAATATATCCTGTTCAACTAGGAGCGATCACGTCTGTAAGAAGTGAAGCGCTCCACACATGCTGACCGCGTGAGAACTACAAAGACCCAGCGAACAGCTGTGAAATCAATTAATTTTTCTGATTAACATCCAATTATTAAACAATTATTTTTATTTATTCGTTAATATTTGAAATGGAGGTGCATGATTCATTTTCGCTGGTGATGCATGATTGGCACGCAAAAATTTATTCATATTCCGTTCTTCATAATTCAGAAAAAAATAGCTTAAAAACTATATAGACGCCAATTCACCAATTCACACTATTCAGTATAGAATAATTGCCTCAATAATTGGAAGTAATGAACTCAACTGACTACGCGACCACACGTGAAGAAGCACATCGATGAGGTCCATCAAACGTCAAACGAGCAAAATAATTCTTCGTTCAATCTTACGCTTTAAATAACCATGATCGTTTTACCTCTACAAAAAGGATCCCCAAACTAATCCTCTAAACCCTGTCGTAATTATTTATTTATAGGAGCTTACAAATGACTCGTATGCTAATGGACCGGCTGACAGGACTCCATTTCAACAGCGCCATGTCGGCCACCGCACTGCAGCGTTGGTCAGAGGCCCTCGCGTAAGAGATTTGTGGTGTTAATTGTCTATTATTTTGCCTATGATGAATGGTATGTTATATTAACTAGAATTAGTTTTCTATGGCTGCTCGGAATATGCAATGAGGGCCTTAAACATATGCTTTTTTAAATATGAGTCGATTTATTCAAGCCGGATTTTGTTATGCCTCGAGGTTGCACAGTTACGATCCTAACACACAAACTCTGGGCAGAAAGTCAAGGAAAATATGTCGATGTTATCCCCGATGAGGACAAAAACCTGGCAGTATAGAGTGTAATCCTTATAAAGCTCACGTGTAACGATAAAAATATGAAATTTCTAAAATAAGGACGTAGTATGAAAAATAAATATATTTTGAGTGCATAAAGTTTCAGAGTGAACTCCGTCCTTAGTCACGATGTTTACAGAGAGTAGGAGGCACAATCTTACCCCCGAATGTGATGAGCTCAAGGCCAGCAGAGCAAGGACGAAAGTCAGCCGCGTCATCTTCTGTGAATTCAACAGATTTGGCGCGTCGTTGTTTGTTGATTTGATGGTTAAACTGTAGCCGTGGAGCAGCTGTCGCGCATATCAGAGCGGTCACGGGGCAAAATAAAATGTTTATAGCTTTCTATTCTAACATTTGACAGAATGAATGCAATGTACTTTATTAATAAATTATCCTCTGCACTTTTACTACGATGCGTTCCTCGCCGTCATCTAGTAGCGCTGATGAAGTCCATAACGAATCATGAATAAATGCGTGGCGACAACAAAGGAGACACGGGCACGAATTGTAGCGTGACGAGCGATTGTCACGGTGTGTGCTGCGCGGAACGGTGCAGGGAAACGTCATCTAAAGGTAATACATTAGAGCATAATCGAGGCATTCACGAGAGGAAGTTACTGTGAGAGTCAGAAAAAAGACTTTGACACGCGGCCAAAGGCGCGCATCTTGGTTCAGTTTAGACCTATCTTCGCCTAGCGTGTCTGAACAATGGAAACAACTCTTAATTATTAATGGAATTTACATGCAACAATATTGAGAACTTTCTCTGAGCGCCTTTGTGCTTGATTATCATATCATACCCACATATCATTAAATTATTTGAAAATGACCCATTTATTCGCTACTGAAACGTTACTAACATTGTGGCCACGGGAATGTTATTCATAACTGCTCATTAATCATGACCATCAGTTCAATAGCATCTTCGATACAGAAACACCTCTAATTTGTAGTGCTCGGTAATTTATTTTATATACTTATACGTTTTTATTTATTTTCCTTGAGGCCATATATTGTACGGTGCACATTATTTGGCACACGAAACGAAATGGCTTCAAACGGCCGTATTTCACTAGTGAAGAAAAACATTAATGACTTTTGTTTGAAATACGACGAAATGAGCCAATAAGAATTTATTTCAAAAACTCGCGTAGTTTCATTAGCTAGAAGAATGATTCATAAAAGCGGTTAATTTTAAATATTTCACCACAGAAACGTGCTTCTTGGATATGTTAAGATGTAGAACCAGCATGGAGCATTTATTAAGAAAATTAGATCGAAATTGACTAATTTATACGCTATAATACTAATGCATTAGTTACCAAATTTTTTAGAAGAGGACAGTTCATTAACTTCTGTTTACTTAACCAATAAATGCATGTTTGTGCGAGTGTTGTTTTAATAAATCATTATCTCAAACGTCTTGATCGGGAAGCCAATAAATAAAATTAGATCTACACTCAGAAGGACCGCGATCGTCTAAAGCCCCTAGAGGCCCAGTTGGCCCCGGGCTCAACATAGCCGCGCAGTGACGGTAAGACCGCGCCTGCGCACTGCGCGGCACGCGCTCATAAATCTTATCCCAGGCGCAGGCGCGCAATATGCACAATTTTTTACAATAATTCGCCGCGGAGACAATTCAGCATGTAGTGCTAAAGTGGCTACTGTTACAGCGTTTCATCCAGTAATGCATTAAGGCTTGTAGTCAAAATGCAGCGAAGTCTGAGAGCGAGGTTTTTGCGACCATCGTGTAAAATCTTTTATCTGCCCAAAGCTCGGCCAGTCGCTACCCTCGAGCTTGTACTCTTTGTAATATGATATCCTAGCCAGACCCTTCTTCGCGGGAACTGGTCGCTTTCAGGTGGCCGAGGAATGGCCAAAGGTCGGCTATAACTAATTGGATAGGCCGACCACTGGCCACGTATTATTCTTCGCCCCTCATTGACTTCGCCTTTACCATGCCACCTGTCGTGAACTGACAGTTCAGTAATTTACAATGCACTGTAACAGCGTTTCATCCAGTAATGCACTGTAACAGCGTTTCATCCAGTAATGCATTGTTACAGCGTTTCATCCAGTAATGCATTGTTACAGCGTTTCATCCAGTAATGCATTGTTACAGCGTTTCATCCAGTAATGCATTGTTATAGCATTTTATTCAGTAATGCATTGTTACAGCGTTTCATCCAGTAATGCATTGTTACAGCGTTTCATCCAGTAATGCATTGTTACAGCGTTTCATCCAGTGATGCATTGTTACAGCGTTTTATCCAGTAATGCATTGTTACAGCGTTTTATCCAGTAATGCATTGTTACAGCATTTTATTCAGTAATGCATTGTTACAGCGTTTCATCCAGTAATGCATTGTTATAGCATTTTATTCAGTAATGCATTGTTACAGCGTTACATCCAGTAATGCATTGTTACAGCGTTTCATCCAGTAATGCATTGTTACAGCGTTTCATCCAGTAATGCATTGTTACAGCGTTTTATCCAGTAATGCATTGTTACAGCGTTTTATTCAGTAATGCATTGTCACAGCGTTTCATCCAGTAATGCATTGTTACAGCATTTTATTCAGTAATGCATTGTTACAGCGTTTCATCCAGTAATGCACTGTTACAGCGTTCATCCAGTAATGCATTAATACAGCGTTTCATCCAGTGATAAATTGTTACAGAGTTTCACCCAGCAATGCATTGTTACAGTGTTTCATTCATTAATGAACAGCTGCATCACTTCAGCGTTTCATTCATCAATGAACTGCTGCATCACATCAGCGTTTCATTCGTTAATGAACTGCTGCATCACTTCAGTTTATGTTGCGTATGGCAACAGCATCTCAGAAGCTACAGCATCCCTGTAAAAATTCGTTCCCACAAAATTCAAACATAGTTTCATAATAATAAAATAATAACTTAATTTCGTTAGTTCGCTCGGTTTCTTCTCATTTAATCTGAGAGAATAATTCAAACGTCGCGTTGAAGCGGCAAAAGAGTTCCCATCGTCACCGTTCATGCTTGTTTATTTCATTAAGGTAAAATATTTGTCTTGAGCGCCTAATTGTTGACATGAGCAGAGCGGTGACCCGTCACTGACAGTAACTCTAGGCGACAACGACATGAAAACTCTGAATAAATACATAAAAGATCCCGGAGTTGACAGTGACGTTGATACTGCGGCATAAAATGGAGGTGTTTGGCCCGATCAAAGAAACGTGTGGCAAGAAAGTGCAGCAAATAATCTCAGGAAAATCCTAGCAAAAACTCTGGCAAATCTGTCAAGACCATTTGGCTGCACGCGTCCTGGTAATTGCAATGTTTGCACGACGTGACAATTAACTGCAGGTGGAGATGACGTCGATGTTTACATGGCGAGAGGTGATAGAGACGAAATTGTTGCCGTAAACGCCGGTCTTGAAACTGTAAAGAAGACGATGACGCTTAACTTCCTTCACCATTGAAACTAAAGTTTAGTATATGAGTTCGAGCAGAAGATAAAAAACAATTTACTGATAGTTGCAAGCATTAAACAGTCGTGTAATCAAGGTTGCCTTCAATTAGTCTATGTTTAGATTAAATACATTTAATCGAGGCAGAATTTCTCACAGTCCTCTCACGACAATTGTAGCGAATTACGTAATAATGCAACTAAATAGTA